ATGTCTAGAAGAGCGAATGTCTCCAGCTTTGTTTCCCTTCCAGTTCTCTGTCCCACTAAAATGTTCATTATTTACTATTTTGCTGCAAGACCCTGTGTCTTTGCTCTCTCTGCCCTGCTGCCCTGTTTCTTCTTGTTCAGGTGCAGTAAATGGATCTGGTGTTCTCGCTTCATTTTCAGCACCAGATATACATGCATCTTCCTTTGGTTGTAATGTCTCAGTCACAAGTGTGTCTGCAGCCACACTATTAATGGTATCTACTTTCTCTTGTATTTCAGCTTGATTTTCCCAACTATTGTCCTCATCCTCTTTTTCATAAGATACCAAATTTATTTCATGTTGTCCCTCAGTGGAATAATGTTTAAAAGAAGGTGGATCTGGAATGCCCATCTGGTTTAAAGCAATTGTTTCTTTGTTCTCTTCCGTTACAGAAACATCTGCAGTGGATGCTGATTGTGTTTGGTCAGAGATGATTGCAGAGATCTGTTCCACATCTTGACTGACCGATGACCTCTCTTCACTGTCAACCACAAGAGACCCCTTCCCCTTCTCAGATACAGATGGTATTTCCTCATTGTCAAAAACAGGTGAAGTGTCCACCACCTCTATCAAAGACAACTTGTCAACCACTAAGAGTTCAGGCTCAGTGTTCACCCCAGATGACTCACTGCCACTGTCAATCACAGACGGTGCCTCCCCATTTTCAACGACAGTGTACTTGTCTCCTCTGTCAACTATGGATGGTCCCTGTGCTGCTATGTCAGCTATAGCTGACTCATTTCCACTGTCAATTATGAATGTTTCTTCCACATTATCATTCACAATCAACTTGTTCCTGCTGTCAGCTACAGATGGCCCCTCACTATTGACAAACACCATGTATTCCTCACCACTTTCAACCACAGTTGGCTCGGTTACTCCCAAGGTTGACTGTTCCCTGGCATCAACCGCAGAGGTCTCTGTCTCTCCCAAGGTAGCCTCCCCCCTGGTGTCAACCACAGATGGCTTAGCGTCTCCCATGATGGATTCCTCTCTGCTGTCAATTACAGATGGTTCAGTGTCTCGCAAGGTGGATTCCTCTGCACCATCAACCACAGATGGCTCAACATCTCCCATTGGTGACTGCTCTCTACTGTCCATTATAGATGGATCAGAGTCTCCCAAGGCTGACTCCTCCATGCCATCAACCACAGGTGCCTCAGAGTCTCTCAAGGTTGATTGCATCCCACTGACAAACACAAATGGCTCAGCATCTCCCAAGGATGACATCTCTCTGCTGTCAACCACAGATAGCTCAGCATCTTCAAAGATTGACTCCTCTACATCATCAACCACAGACAGCGCAGCATTTCCCATGTTTGACTCCTCCCCACTGTCAATTACAGACAAACCCCCCCTACTATCAGCAATTGCAGATGACATAGGGGAACTTTCAGCACTGTCATATATTGACGGCCTGCCCCCAATGTTTATTACAGTCTCGTCCACAGATAAATCATTATCAAGGTTGGAATCATCAATGACTGATGACTCTGGCCCACTGTCAATCAAAGATGCTGCTTTCACAGCATCCATCACAGATAGTCCCTCCCCTCTACTAGTCACAGATGGGACCTCCGTACTATCAATCAAAGTTGACTTATCCCCACACTCAGAATGCACAGGTTTACTGTAACTGGCAACAGGGTTTTGAATGGTCTTTGTGTTATAACCTTCATTTTGAACTACTGCAGTCTTCTTATCCTCTTTACTGACATCCATTTTGGAAATATTATCAACAGCATATACTACTGATACATTACCAGACAACACACTGTCTATATTATTAAGATCCATTGGTACTTGCAGAGTACTGTTTATGTCGACTTGGCCTGATGAATTAATGTCAGTGCTACTTGCAGTTTTGTCATTAATATCTACATTATATTTTTCATTTGACTCTATGGGTTGTGAAGCATTCATGTCTATATCACCCATCAAATCCTCAATGACATCTGAAATCTTTAGCTGATCTGCCGATCCAAGTTCAGCCTTTGAAGTACCATCAGCTAATTGAATGTCCTCAGCTGCTAATGTTTCCTGTGGTATTAGCTGAGTTATATGGTGGTCATTTGTATCTCCTGTACTTGACAGAATGGTATATGGTTTATTGTCGTCTTTATCAATATTTTCCTGTTTAATATTGTTGCTGGATGGATTAGAATTACTGGTTTGGGGTTCTAACAAGACGTCCTTACCTTTGTCTGTCATTTCTAGGGCTGACTCATCGTAGTTTTCTGCATCTTTATTAACATCTCTAATGTTCTGCTGAAACTTTGACGGCAAGCTCCCAAAAATGGTAGAAATACCACCAATGGAAAACAAAGACTGAACATCTTTTGTTGTCTCATCCTGGCTCCCATCTCGTGTATCAGATCCTGGCTCTTGAACATGTGAACCTTCAAAAGACCCAGGCGAATTATCATCGGCATTCTCAACCTCACGTTTTTCACCATAAAGCTCTAAAATACTGCTGTACATGCTCCCATAACCAGTTTCTCCATCATTTTCAGACTTTCCATTTTTATAATCATTATCATGTCCATTATTTTCTATTGAAGAAAAACCTGAACTATCATCAGTAAATTCCACTCTAGATTTTCCTCTTATCTTCCCCTGATTCCATCTCTCCCCTGGCTCACTAGAACTAAGAAGGTTCTCAGTTACTATCTCCTCCTCTGTGCCTGGGTGCCCGCTATCTTCTATTCTAAGTCCACTATTCTCATTGACTGATTGATGAAAATGGAGAAGGTCACCAATGCCAGTGTATAGCCAAGAGTCAGTGTTCACGGTTTCCTTTTGGTTTGGTGTAGATCCCTCATCTTTGGGGTTCTCTGTTAAACCCTCATCTTTATTTTGGTTTATCGGCTCCTTAGGTGCAGTATCTGGACTTTTTTCACCAAAACTAAAAACCCCAGCCAGTTGTCCCCTAAGCCAGGAAGCCGTTTCAGTCCTTTCGTTCTCCTCTAACTGGTTAACATCCAGAGCGATCTTCCTGTTCTTAAAAGACTCTTGCTCCTCATTCTTGGCTCCTAAACCCAGCCATCCAGTCAGTCCAGATCCAATCCAATAAGACCCACCTTGTTCAGTTGGCTTTGACTTGGTATTATCAAGGGGATCCTGCACTATAGTCTGACTTGTTTCCACTTTGTCCACAGTTTTTGTGCTCTGAGTCACTTGTATTGGTTCGCTAGTTTTGAGATCCTGCATGTCATCTGCTGGGAGGCCTTGAAGCTCCACTTGTTCATCCAAATTGTCCGATTGACTGAAATCACCCTCAATTATAGCACCATACTCATCTATACAGAAGAAATCCTGTTCCTGCAAGGAAAGAGTTACTAGATTAAAATTTCTAAACTTTAAAGTGAAATAAACACAAACAAAAACACACATAATTTAAATAATGCTTAGATACCTGTGTTGGTAATTCAATTTCTTTTTCCTTATGTGTGTAAACTTCCTCAACTTCAACAGCATCTTTTGGAAAATAGCCAAATTGCTTGTCAATCTGAAAATGATGGCAGTTTATTTTCAATTGCTCTTTGCACTCCTCACATTAACAGTAAAACTGGTTTAACTGATTTAGATTACAAGTTTCTATTACAAATACTATCAAACTATAGCAACTTTAATAAACAATGCACTGAAGCATATTAGCTATATTACAATAAAAACAAACAAAATCAGCATACACTTTTCCCATCTAAAATGGACTGTACTGATCATTAGAGACTGTCAACAATACTCACACTTCCTGCCCAAAGATCCTCCCTTTTACCGGAAAGCTTGAAATACACAAATATAACATCTCCGCTTCTGAAGTTTAAAAACCTGCAGTCGGGTCCTTTGAAATCTTTGGTGGCCTGAACACGACTCAAGAGGGCTAGGATCATAAAGCAATTAAAAACAAATGCTTACAAACCAGTCAAAGGTAACTTCGCAGTTCTTTCCACGTGAAAAATATTCAGATATATTAGGCTATATATGTCATATAATATTTCAAGTTAAACTGTCTATGAAATTTCTTTTCTGAATGATACCAGACCTTTGGACAGCGTTAGCCAACTACTGTTCCACGCACCACCTGTTTAAAGGGCGCTGAAGATAAATATTTTGTTACGTGTGCAATCCGTTACAATACTAATCATAAATATGTTACAACAATATTTAATATCTATTTCTTAGAACGTAGGCCTATGCAAGAGTAAAATTCGAATCGCTTACTTTCACATCCGGGATCGCCACAGAATTTGTAGTCAGAAAAAAAACCCCAACATTGGGCGCAGAGCAGCGGTAGTAAAACGCAGAACGGTAAAAGAGTCATGATTAAGGAAAGAAAATATCCCGTTATACACCCCAGTCCATTACCGGGTGAGGTTGGTAACGTTAAACCAAAAGTCGGACGTTACACATAAGAACAACATCTGCCTTGCAGAACTGAAATTTCACAATTGCCCACAAAGAGGAAAAGATAAGGAAAGCAGCGTGTGGCTTTCAGCAATGGGTAAATGATTAACCTATGTACGTGGCCAGGAAGAGAAATCAGTGTGTGTGTGTGTGTGTGTGTGTATATATATATATATATATATATATATATATATATATA